TGTGGCATAATAAAGGAGACCTAGATATCTATGAATAAGAAACCTACTTAGCTGTGAGAGGATATCAGCACCGTATAAAACCAAAATGTTAGAGTAGCACCAAGGAGATATTACCTAGGTTTGTGGCATTCATCAGGCCAGCACTGGAAGTGTGGGCGTTTTAGGAGATATGATTGAGGGGCCCATTCCACTGTTCTAATCTGGGGAGGGTCATCAGGGTAGATTGACCTATTGCTCTGATCTGCTGTGGCTATTCTTAAGTTACTAGATAGTACAACCTCTGCTACCCTGATGGGGAGTTGAATAGGGGGCATTCCTAACTTCTCTTTCTCTTGTAGAAAAACAACCAGTTCTGGTCAGTGGTGAGTATCAGCAGTTATCTTTGCTATCGGTCTAATGTGTTTTGCCTCAATACTGTTCTGTATCGCTGCTCACTAACAGCTCAACCCTTTGCTGGCAAAGCCCTCCAGGCAATTGCTGTCCTGACCCCTTTGATCCCATCACTTGGGCGTGGTGTAACAGATCTGCAGCCTTGGGATGTTGGAGCTTTACCAAGGATTATCTCTTGATTTCCACCGGTGGATGAGAATGATGTTGGGGGCAGATGCCCAGTTCATGTAAATTTGCCGTAGCTTCATAGAAATCCACAGGGCCTGGCTGCCACTGGTGCAAATTGTTCAGAGAATCACTGGAATCAATACGCCACATTCCCAGACGCTAGAAATTGTCCATGGCCGCACTGGTGTGATGGAATATCCGTTGCAGCCCTATAGGTGTTACCACAATACACAAAACAAACATTCCCCATTTTGCAGGACTCCGGAAGCGTAAACACCGGCAACGTGGGTGACGGCAGCTTTGACGACAACAGCGTAAGTACCAGAGATTACCTCTCCATGCCATGTAGCTTCACACACATCAGTGAATGGATCCCGTTTCAGCTAGTTTGATGTCTGTTAACGTACGCCTGTGAGTAGCATTGGCTCCATTTGCCCATGTTGCGAAGGCAGCAAGGAATGTCCTCCTACTCCACAGGGCTTATAACTATCTCCAGAGGCTTATAGCAGGTCGCCTCTTCCACAGTCCCCGGGATAGCAATGAGGCATGCCAGAAGAAGCTTTTTTTTTTTTGACATGACTCAGAATGCACTTTTCCTGGGAGCAACCTCAGGGGGCTCCCAGGTGAACAAATATTTGGGAGGCTTATATGAGATTGCCAGGGTTGATGGGAGGCTGTCATATCCACTATTCCTTTGGGCAACCCTGAAATAGCCTGAAAGAGGGTCTTTGACATCACCGACAATGAATTGCACCCGGGAGATATCCCAAATTTTTTGGATTCATCCCCATCCGCACTGGGGGCCTCATGAGAATTTCCCATGGCCTCATGGGAGGATGATCTCTTCTCCAAAAGTCCGCTGGACAGGCATGAATTGTCTCACAGTTCCTTTGGTCACCCACTAAATCTCTCACAAGAGATCCTTCCGAAATCACATGGAATGCCCTGCTTTTGGCAACAGTCCTAGGAATGGAGGGCAAATTGTGTCCTATCCAGGATTCCTTTGGCTGACTCCTTTGGTATTAAAATAAATTTGCATCATGTCATCTGAGTGGGAATAATACTTGGGTTGTTTTTGTGGCATAATAAAGGAGACCTAGATATCTATGAATAAGAAACCTACTTAGCTGTGAGAGGATATCAGCACCGTATAAAACCAAAATGTTAGAGTAGCACCAAGGAGATATTACCTAGGTTTGTGGCATTCATCAGGCCAGCACTGGAAGTGTGGGCGTTTTAGGAGATATGATTGAGGGGCCCATTCCACTGTTCTAATCTGGGGAGGGTCATCAGGGTAGATTGACCTATTGCTCTGATCTGCTGTGGCTATTCTTAAGTTACTAGATAGTACAACCTCTGCTACCCTGATGGGGAGTTGAATAGGGGGCATTCCTAACTTCTCTTTCTCTTGTAGAAAAACAACCAGTTCTGGTCAGTGGTGAGTATCAGCAGTTATCTTTGCTATCGGTCTAATGTGTTTTGCCTCAATACTGTTCTGTATCGCTGCTCACTAACAGCTCAACCCTTTGCTGGCAAAGCCCTCCAGGCAATTGCTGTCCTGACCCCTTTGATCCCATCACTTGGGCGTGGTGTAACAGATCTGCAGCCTTGGGATGTTGGAGCTTTACCAAGGATTATCTCTTGATTTCCACCGGTGGATGAGAATGATGTTGGGGGCAGATGCCCAGTTCATGTAAATTTGCCGTAGCTTCATAGAAATCCACAGGGCCTGGCTGCCACTGGTGCAAATTGTTCAGAGAATCACTGGAATCAATACGCCACATTCCCAGACGCTAGAAATTGTCCATGGCCGCACTGGTGTGATGGAATATCCGTTGCAGCCCTATAGGTGTTACCACAATACACAAAACAAACATTCCCCATTTTGCAGGACTCCGGAAGCGTAAACACCGGCAACGTGGGTGACGGCAGCTTTGACGACAACAGCGTAAGTACCAGAGATTACCTCTCCATGCCATGTAGCTTCACACACATCAGTGAATGGATCCCGTTTCAGCTAGTTTGATGTCTGTTAACGTACGCCTGTGAGTAGCATTGGCTCCATTTGCCCATGTTGCGAAGGCAGCAAGGAATGTCCTCCTACTCCACAGGGCTTATAACTATCTCCAGAGGCTTAAAGCAGGTCGCCTCTTCCACAGTCCCCGGGATAGCAATGAGGCATGCCAGAAGAAGCTTTTTTTTTTTGACATGACATCAGAATGCACTTCTGCTGGGAGATATCTCAGGGGGCCCCAGGTGAACAAATATTTGGGAGGCTTATAGGAGATTCCAGGGTTGATGGGAGGCTGTCATATCCACTATTCCTTTGGGCACCCCTGAAATATCCTGAAAGAGAGTCTTTGACATCACCCACAATGAATTGCACCTGGGAGATATCCCAAATTTTTCGGATTCATCCCCATCCCCACTGGGGGCCTCATGAGAATTTCCCATGGCCTCATGGTAGGATGATCTCTTCTCCAACAAGTCCACTGGACAGGCATGAAGTGTCTCACAGTTCCTTTGGGCACCCACTAAATCTCTCACAAGAGATCCTTCCGAAATCACATGGAATGCCCTGCTTTTGGCAAGAGTCCTAGGAATGGAGGACAAATTGAGGCCTATCCAGATTCCTTTGGCTGACTCCTTTGCTATTAGATTAAATTTGCATCATCTCATCTGAGTGGGATTAACATGCGGCTTGTTTCTTGTGGCATAATAAAGGAGACCTAGATATCTATGAATAAGAAACCTCCTTAGCTGTGAGGGGATCTCAGCACAATATAAGAACTAAAGTTGTTAGATTAGCACCGAGGAGATATTACCTATGTTTGTGGCATTGCTGAGGCCAGCACTGGAATACCGGTCCTTTTAGTAGAGATGATTGGGGGGCCCATTCCACTGTTCCAGCCTGTGGAAGGTCATCAGGGTATATTGGTCTATTGCTGTGATCTGGTGTGGCTGTTTTGAAGTTACTAGATGGTACAACCTCTGCTACCCTGATGGGGGGTTGAATAGAGGGCATTCCTAACTTCTCTTTCTCTTGTAGAAAAACAACCAGTTCTGGTCAGTGGTGAGTATCAGCAGTTATCTTTGCTATCGGACTGACATGTTTTGCCTCAATACTATTGACACTAAACTGGGAGGAGAGGTAGATACGCTGGAGGGTAGGGATAGGATACAGAGGGACCTAGACAAATTGGAGGATTGGGCCAAAAGAAATCTGATGAGGTTCAATAAGGATAAGTGCAGGGTCCTGCACTTAGGACCGAAGAACCCGATGCACAGCTACAGACTAGGGACCGAATGGCTAGGCAGCAGTTCTGCGGAAAAGGACCTAGGGGTGACAGTGGACGAGAAGCTGGATATGAGTCAGCAGTGTGCCCTTGTTGCCAAGAAGGCCAATGGCATTTTGGGTTGTATAAGTAGGGGCATTGCCAGCAGATCAAGGGATGTGATCGTTCCCCTCTATTCGACACTGGTGAGGCCTCATCTGGAGTACTGTGTCCAGTTTTGGGCCTCACACTACAAGAAGGATGTGGAAAAATTGGAAAGAGTCCAGCGGAGGGCAACAAAAATGATTAGGGAACTGGAACACATGACTGATGGGGAGAGGCTGAGGGAACTGGGATTGTTTAGTCTGTGGAAGAGAAGAATGAGGGGGGATTTGATAGCTGCTTTCAACTACCTAAAGGGGGTTCCAGAGAGGTTGGCTCTAGACTGTTCTGAGTGGTAGCAGATGACAGAATAAGGAGTAATGGTCTCAAGTTGCAGTGGGGGAGATTTAGGTTGGATATTAGGAAAAACTTTTTCACTAGGAGGGTGGTGAAACACTGGAATGCGTTACCTAGGGAGGTGGTGGAATCTCCTTCCTTAGAAGTTTTTAAGGTCAGGCTTGACAAAGCCCTGGCTGGGACGATTTAATTGGGGATCGGTCCTGCTTTGAGCAGGGGGTTGGACTAGATGACCTCCTGAGGTCCCTTCCAACCCTGATATTCTATGATTTTATGATTGTATGATTCTATTCTGAATCTCTGCTCACTAACAGCCCAACCCTTTGCTGGCAAAGCTCTCGAGGCAATTGCCGTCCAGACCCGTTTGATCCCATCAGTCGGGCTTGCTATAACAAATCTGCAGCCTTGGGATGTCGGAGCTTTACCAAGAATTATCTCTTGATTTCCACACGTGGATGAGAATGATGTTGGGGGCAGATGCCCAGTTCATGTAAATTTGCCGTAGCTTCATAGAAATCAACGGGGTCAGGTTCCCACTGGTGAAAATTGTTCAGAGAATCCCTAGAGTCAATAAGCCACATTCCCAGATGCTGTAAATTGACCATGGCCGCGCTGGTGTGATGGAATATGTGTTGCAGCCCTATAGGTGTTACCACAACACACATAATAAACATTCCCCATCTTGCAGGACTCCGGAAGCGTAAACACCGGCAACGTGGGCGACGGCAGCTTTGACGACAACAGCGTAAGTACCAGAGATTACCTCTCCAAGCTATGTAGTTTCACACACATCAGTGAATGGACCCCATTTCAGCTACTTTGAGGTCTGGTAACGTTTACCTGCGTGGAGCAATGGCTGCGTTTGCCCATGTTGCGAATGTGGCATGGACAGTCCTTCTACTGCACAGAGTTGATGAATATCTCCCAGGGCTTACAGCAGTTTGACCTTCTCTCACACAGTTCCTGGGGTAGCAATGAGAAATGGCAGAAGAGGTTTATTGATTTTGCTCAGAAGACACTTCTGCTGGGAGCTACCTCAGGGGGTCACGAGAGGAACACATATTTGGAAGGCTTATAGGAGATTGCCAGGACAGAGGGGAGGTTGCCGTCCCCACAGTTCCTTTGGGCACCCATGAAATATCCTACAAGAGAGTCTTTGACATCACCCACAATGCATTGCACCTGGGAGATATCCCAAGAGTTTTGGGATACCTGCCCATCCCCACTTGGGGCCTCATGAGAATTTCCCATGGCCTCATGGAAGATGATCTGTTCTTCTACAAGTCCACTCGATAGGCAGGAAGTGTCCCACAGTTACTTTGGGTGCCCACAAAATATCTCATCAGTGATCCTTCCGAAATCACACGAAATGCACTGCTCTTGGCAACAGTCCTTGGAACTCCATGTAAATTGTGGCTTATCAAGGATACCCTGGCTGACTCCTTTGCTATTAGATTAAATTTGCATCGTGTCACCTGACTGAGAATAACATGTGGCTTGTTTCTTGTAGAATAATAAAGGAGACCCACATATTTATGAATAAGGAACGTCCTCAGCTGTGAGGGGATCTCAGCATAGTATAAGAGCTGAAGTTGTAGATTAGCACTGAGGAGATATTACCTATGTCTATGGCATTGCTGAGGCCAGCCCTGGAGTAGTGGGCCTTTTAGGAGATATGACTGAGGAGCCCATTCCTCTGTTCCAGCCCGGGGAGGGACATCAGGGTAGCTTGACCGATTGCTCTGATCTGTTGGTGTGGCTGTTTTGAAATTACTAGATGGTACAACCCCTGCTATCCTGGTGGGGAGTTGAACAGGGGGCATTCCTAACTTCTCTTTCTCTTGTAGAAAAACAACCAGTTCTGGTCAGTGGTGAGTATCAGCAGAAATCTTTGCTATCGGTCTAACATGCTTTGCCTCAATACTATTCTATATCGCTGCTCACTAACAGCCCAACCCTTTGCTGGCAAAGGCCTCTACGTAATTTCCATTCTGACCCCTTTGATCCCATGAGTTGGGCTTGGTATAACAAATCTGCAGCCTTGTGATGTCGGAGCTTTACCAAGGATTATCTCTTGGTTTCCACCGGTGGATGAGAATGATATTGGGGCCAGATCCCCAGTTCATGTAAATTTGCTGTAGCTTCATAGAAATCAACAGGGCCAGGTTCGCACTGGTGTAAATTGTCCATAGAAGCACTGGAATCAATACGCCACATCCCCAGGTGCTAGAAATTGTCCATGGCCCCGTGGGATCAATAAACTAACCGTTGGAGCCCTATACGTGTTACCACAATACACAAAACAAACATTCCCCATCTTGCAGGACTCCGGAAGCGTAAACACCGGCAACGTGGGCGACGGCAGCTTTGATGACAACAGCGTAAGTACAGGAGATTACCTCTCCACGCCATATAGGTTCACATACAGTGAATGACCCCGTTTCAGCTAATTTGATATTTGGTAATCTTTCGCTGCGAGTAGCATTGGGTGCGTTTGCCCATGTTGGAAAGGTGGTAAGGAATGTCCTCCAACTCCACAGAGCTTATGAATATCTCCAGAGGCTTATAGCAGGTTGACCTCCTCTTCCACAGTCCCCGGGGTAGCAATGAGGCGTGCCAGGAGAGGCTTTTTGACATGACTCAGAATGCACTTTTCCTGGGAGCTACCTCAGGGGGCTCCCAGGTGAACAAATATTTGGGAGGCTTATATGAGATTGCCAGGGTTGATGGGAGGCTGTCATATCCACTATTCCTTTGGGCAACCCTGAAATAGCCTGAAAGAGGGTCTTTGACATCACCGACAATGAATTGCACCCGGGAGATATCCCAAATTTTTTGGATTCATCCCCATCTGCACTGGGGGCCTCATGAGAATTTCCCATGGCCTCATGGGAGGATGATCTCTTCTCCAAAAGTCCGCTGGACAGGCACGAATTGTCTCACAGTTCCTTTGGTCACCCACTAAATCTCTCACAAGAGATCCTTCTGAAATCACATTGAATGCCCTGCTTTTGGCAACAGTCCTAGGAATGGAGGGCAAATTGTGTCCTATCCAGGATTCCTTTGGCTGACTCCTTTGGTATTAAAATAAATTTGCATCATGTCATCTGAGTGGGAATAATACTTGGGTTGTTTTTGTGGCATAATAAAGGAGACCTAGATATCTATGAATAAGAAACCTACTTAGCTGTGAGAGGATATCAGCACCGTATAAAACCAAAATGTTAGAGTAGCACCAAGGAGATATTACCTAGGTTTGTGGCATTCATCAGGCCAGCACTGGAAGTGTGGGCGTTTTAGGAGATATGATTGAGGGGCCCATTCCACTGTTCTAATCTGGGGAGGGTCATCAGGGTAGATTGACCTATTGCTCTGATCTGCTGTGGCTATTCTTAAGTTACTAGATAGTACAACCTCTGCTACCCTGATGGGGAGTTGAATAGGGGGCATTCCTAACTTCTCTTTCTCTTGTAGAAAAACAACCAGTTCTGGTCAGTGGTGAGTATCAGCAGTTATCTTTGCTATCGGTCTAATGTGTTTTGCCTCAATACTGTTCTGTATCGCTGCTCACTAACAGCTCAACCCTTTGCTGGCAAAGCCCTCCAGGCAATTGCTGTCCTGACCCCTTTGATCCCATCACTTGGGCGTGGTGTAACAGATCTGCAGCCTTGGGATGTTGGAGCTTTACCAAGGATTATCTCTTGATTTCCACCGGTGGATGAGAATGATGTTGGGGGCAGATGCCCAGTTCATGTAAATTTGCCGTAGCTTCATAGAAATCCACAGGGCCTGGCTGCCACTGGTGCAAATTGTTCAGAGAATCACTGGAATCAATACGCCACATTCCCAGATGCTAGAAATTGTCCATGGCCGCACCGGTGTGATGGAATATCCGTTGCAGCCCTATAGGTGTTACCACAATACACATAATAAACATTCCCCATTTTGCAGGACTCCGGAAGCGTAAACACCGGCAACGTGGGTGACGGCAGCTTTGACGACAACAGCGTAAGTACCAGAGATTACCTCTCCATGCCATGTAGCTTCACACACATCAGTGAATGGATCCCGTTTCAGCTAGTTTGATGTCTGTTAACGTACGCCTGTGAGTAGCATTGGCTCCATTTGCCCATGTTGCGAAGGCAGCAAGGAATGTCCTCCTACTCCACAGGGCTTATAACTATCTCCAGAGGCTTATAGCAGGTCGCCTCTTCCACAGTCCCCGGGATAGCAATGAGGCATGCCAGAAGAAGCTTTTTTTTTTTTGACATGACATAGAATGCACTTCTGCTGGGAGATATCTCAGGGGGTCCCCAGGTGAACAAATATTTGGGAGGCTTATAGGAGAGATGTGAGGTTGTCATATCCACAATTCCTTTGGGCACCCCTGAAATATCCTGAAAGAGAGTCTTTGACATCACCCACAATGAATTGCACCTGGGAGATATCCCAAATTTTTCGGATTCATCCTCATCCCCACTGGGGGCCTCATGAGAATTTCCCATGGTCTCATGGTAGATGATCTCTTCTCCTACAAATCTACTGGATAGGCATGAAGTGTCTCACAGTTCCTTTGGGCACCCACTAAATCTCTCACAAGAGATCCTTCCGAAATTACACGTAATGCACTGCTTTTGGCAAGAGTCGTAGGAACGGAGGACAAATTGAGGCCTATCTTGGCTGACTCCTTTTCTATTAGATTAAATTTGCATCATCTCATCTGAGTGGGATTAACATGCGGCTTGTTTCTTGTGGAATAATAAAGGAGACCCACATATCTATGAATAAGGAACGTCCTCAGTTGTGAGGGGATCTCAGCATAATATAAGAGCTGAAGTTGTAGATTAGCACTGAGGAGATATTACCTATGTCTACCGCATTGCTGAGGCCAGCATTGGAATACCGGTCCTTTTAGTAGAGATGATTGGGGGGCCCATTCCTCTGTTCCAGCCTGTGGAAGGTCATCAGGGTATATTGGTCTATTGCTGTGATCTGGTGTGGCTGTTTTGAAGTTACTAGATGGTACAACCTCTGCTATCCTGGTGGGGGGTTGAACAGAGGGCATTCCTAACTTCTCTTTCTCTTGTAGAAAAACAACCAGTTCTGGTCAGTGGTGAGTATCAGCAGTTATCTTTGCTATCGGACTGACATGTTTTGCCTCAATACTATTGACACTAAACTGGGAGGAGAGGTAGATACGCTGGAGGGTAGGGATAGGATACAGAGGGACCTAGACAAATTGGAGGATTGGGCCAAAAGAAATCTGATGAGGTTCAATAAGGATAAGTGCAGGGTCCTGCACTTAGGACCGAAGAACCCGATGCACAGCTACAGACTAGGGACCGAATGGCTAGGCAGCAGTTCTGCGGAAAAGGACCTAGGGGTGACAGTGGACGAGAAGCTGGATATGAGTCAGCAGTGTGCCCTTGTTGCCAAGAAGGCCAATGGCATTTTGGGTTGTATAAGTAGGGGCATTGCCAGCAGATCAAGGGATGTGATCGTTCCCCTCTATTCGACACTGGTGAGGCCTCATCTGGAGTACTGTGTCCAGTTTTGGGCCTCACACTACAAGAAGGATGTGGAAAAATTGGAAAGAGTCCAGCGGAGGGCAACAAAAATGATTAGGGAACTGGAACACATGACTGATGGGGAGAGGCTGAGGGAACTGGGATTGTTTAGTCTGTGGAAGAGAAGAATGAGGGGGGATTTGATAGCTGCTTTCAACTACCTAAAGGGGGTTCCAGAGAGGTTGGCTCTAGACTGTTCTGAGTGGTAGCAGATGACAGAATAAGGAGTAATGGTCTCAAGTTGCAGTGGGGGAGATTTAGGTTGGATATTAGGAAAAACTTTTTCACTAGGAGGGTGGTGAAACACTGGAATGCGTTACCTAGGGAGGTGGTGGAATCTCCTTCCTTAGAAGTTTTTAAGGTCAGGCTTGACAAAGCCCTGGCTGGGACGATTTAATTGGGGATCGGTCCTGCTTTGAGCAGGGGGTTGGACTAGATGACCTCCTGAGGTCCCTTCCAACCCTGATATTCTATGATTTTATGATTGTATGATTCTATTCTGAATCTCTGCTCACTAACAGCCCAACCCTTTGCTGGCAAAGCTCTCGAGGCAATTGCCGTCCAGACCCGTTTGATCCCATCAGTCGGGCTTGCTATAACAAATCTGCAGCCTTGGGATGTCGGAGCTTTACCAAGAATTATCTCTTGATTTCCACCCGTGGATGAGAATGATGTTGGGGGCAGATGCCCAGTTCATGTAAATTTGCCGTAGCTTCATAGAAATCAACGGGGTCAGGTTCCCACTGGTGAAAATTGTTCGGAGAATCACTAGAGTCAATAAGCCACATTCCCAGATGCTGGAAATTGTCCATGGCCGCGCTGGTGTGATGGAATATGTGTTGCAGCCCTATAGGTGTTACCACAACATACATAATAAACATTCCCCATCTTGCAGGACTCCGGAAGCGTAAACACCGGCAACGTGGGCGACGGCAGCTTTGACGACAACAGCGTAAGTACCAGAGATTACCTCTCCACGCCATGTAGCTTCACACACATCGGTGAATGGACCCCATTTCAGCTACTTTGAGGTCTGGTAACGTTTACCTGCGTGGAGCAATGGCTGCGTTTGCCCATGTTGCGAAGGTGGCATGGACAGTCCTTCTACTGCACAGGGTTTATGAATATCTCCCGGGACTTACAGCAGTTTGACCTCCTCTCACACAGTCCCTGGGGTAGCAATGAGAAATGCCAGAAGAGGTTTATTGATTTTGCTCAGAAGACACTTCTGCTGGGAGCTACCTCAGGGGGTCATGAGAGGAACACATATTTGGAAGGCTTATAGGAGATTGCCAGGACAGATGGGAGGTTGCCGTCCCCACAGTTCCTTTGGGTACCCATGAAATATCCTGCAAGAGAGTCTTTGACATCACCCACAATGCATTGCACCTGGGAGATATCCCAAGAGTTTTGGGATACCTGCCCATCCCCACTTGGGGCCTCATGAGAATTTCCCATGGCCTCATGGAAGATGATCTGTTCTTCTACAAGTCCACTCTTTAGGCAGGAAGTGTCCCACAGTTACCTTGGGTGCCCACAAAATATCTCATCAGTGATCCTTCCGAAATCACACGAAATGCACTGCTCTTGGCAACAGTCCTTGGAACTCCATGTAAATTGTGGCTTATCAAGGATACCCTGGCTGACTCCTTTGCTATTAGATTAAATTTGCATCGTGTCACCTGACTGAGAATAACATGTGGCTTGTTTCTTGTGGAATAATAAAGGAGACCCACATATCTATGAATAAGGAACGCCATCAGATGTGAGAGGATCTCAGCATAGTATAAGAGCTGAAGTTGTAGATTAGCACTGAGGAGATATTACCTATGTCTATGGCATTGCTGAGGCCAGCCCTGGAGTAGTGGGCCTTTTAGGAGATATGACTGAGGAGCCCATTCCTGTGTTCCAGCCCGGGGAGGGACATCAGGGTAGCTTGACCGATTGCTCTGATCTGGTGTGGCTGTTTTGAAGTTACTAGATGGTACAACCTCTGCTATCCTGGTGGGGAGTTGAACAGGGGGCATTCCTAACTTCTCTTTCTCTTGTAGAAAAACAACCAGTTCTGGTCAGTGGTGAGTATCAGCAGAAATCTTTGCTATCGGTCTAATGTGTTTTGCCTCAATACTATTCTGTATCGCTGCTCACTAACAGCCCAACCCTTTGCTGGCAAAGCCTTCCAGGCAATTGCTGTCCTGACCCCTTTGATCCCATCACTTCGGCTTGGTGTAACAGATCTGCAGCCTTGGGATGTTGGAGCTTTACCAAGGATTATCTCTTGATTTCCACCGGTGGATGAGAATGATGTTGGGGGCAGATGCCCAGTTCATGTAAATTTGCCGTAGCTTCATAGAAATCCACAGGGCCTGGCTGCCACTGGTGCAAATTGTCCAGAGAATCACTGGAATCAATACGCCACATTCCCAGATGCTAGAAATTGTCCATGGCCGCACTGGTGTGATGGAATATGTGTTGTAGCCCTATAGGTGTTACCACAATACACAAAACAAACATTCCCCATCTTGCAGGACTCCGGAAGTGTAAAGACCGGCAACGTTGGAGACGGCAGCTTTGACGACAACAGCGTAAGTACCAGAGATTACCTCTCCATGCCATGTAGCTTCACACACATCACTGAATGGATCCCGTTTCAGCTAGTTTGATGTCTGTTAACATATGCCTGTGAGTAGCATTGGCTGCATTTGCCCATGTTGCGAAGGCAGCAAGGAATGTCCTCCTACTCCACAGGGCTTATGACTATCTCCAGAGGCTTATAGCAGGTTGACCACCTCTTCAACAGTCCCAGGGTAGCAATGAGGCATGCCAGAAGAAGCTTTTTGACATGATTCAGAATGCACTTTTCCTGGGAGCTACCTCAGGGAGTTCCCAGGTGAACAAATATTTGGGAGGTTTATATGAGATTGCCAGGACAGATGTGACGTTTTCATATCCACAATTCCTTTGGGCACCCCTGAAATAGTCTGAAAGAGAGTCTTTGACATCACCCACAATGAATTGCACCTGGGAGATATCCCAAATTTTTCGGATTCATCCTCATCCCCACTGGGGGCCTCATGAGAATTTCCCATGGTCTCATGGTAGATGATCTCTTCTCCTACAAGTCTACTGGATAGGCATGAAGTGTCTCACAGTTCCTTTGCACACCCACTAAATCTCTTACAAGAGATCCTTCCAAAATTACACGTAATGCACTGCTTTTGGCAAGAGTCGTAGGAACGGAGCGCAAATTGAGGCCTATCTTGGCTGACTCTTTGCTATTAGATTAAATTTGCATCATCTCATCTGAGTGGGAAAAAAATGCGGCTTGTTTCTTGTGGAATAATAAAGGAGACCCACATATCTATGAATAAGGAACGTCCTCAGCTGTGAGGGGATCTCAGAATAGTATAAGAGCTGAAGTTGTAGATTGGCACTGAGGAGATATTACCTATGTCTACGGCATTGCTGAGGCCAGCATTGGAATACCGGTCCTTTTAGTAGAGATGATTGGGGGGCCCATTCCTCTGTTCCAGCCCGGGGAGGGACATCATGGTAGCTTGACCGATTGATCTGATCTGGTGTGGCTGTTTTGAAGTTACTAGATGGTACAACCTCTGCTATCCTGGTGGGGAGTTGAACAGGGGAGTCTTTGACATCACCCACAATGCATTGCACCTGGGAGATATCCCAAGAGTTTTGGGATACCTGCCCATCCCCACTTGGGGCCTCATGAGAATTTCCCATGGCCTCATGGAAGATGATCTGTTCTTCTACAAGTCCACTCGATAGGCAGAAAGTGTCCCACAGTTACTTTGGGTGCCCACAAAATATCTCATCAGTGATCCTTCCGAAATCACACGACATGCACTGCTCTTGGCAACAGTCCTTGGAACTCCATGTAAATTGTGGCTTATCAAGGATACCCTGGCTGACTCCTTTGCTATTAGATTAAATTTGCATCGTGTCACCTGACTGAGAATAACATGTGGCTTGTTTCTTGTGGAATAATAAAGGAGACCCACATATGTATGAATAAGGAACGTCCTCAGCTGTGAGGGGATCTCAGCATAGTATAAGAGCTGAAGTTGTAGATTAGCACTGAGGAGATATTACCTATGTCTATGGCATTGCTGAGGCCAGCCCTGGAGTAGTGGGCCTTTTAGGAGATATGACTGAGGAGCCCATTCCTGTGTTCCAGCCCGGGGAGGGACATCAGGGTAGCTTGACCGATTGCTCTGATCTGGTGTGGCTGTTTTGAAATTACTAGATGGTACAACCTCTGCTATCCTGGTGGGGAGTTGAACAGGGGGCATTCCTAACTTCTCTTTCTGTTGTAGAAAAACAACCAGTTCTGGTCAGTGGTGAGTATCAGCAAAAATCTTTGCTATCGGTCTAACATGCTTTGCCTCAATACTATTCTATATTGCTGCTCACTAACAGCCCAACCCTTTGCTGGCAAAGGCCTCTACGTAATTTCCATTCTGACCCCTTTGATCCCATCAGTTGGGCTTGGTGTAACTGATCTGCAGCCTTGTGATGTCGGAGCTTTACCAAGGATTATCTCTTCGTTTCCACCCGTGGATGAGAATGATGTTGGGGGCAGATGCCCAGTTCATGTAAATTTGCCGTAGCTTCATAGAAATCCACAGGGCCAGTTTCGCACCGGTGTAAATTGTCCATAGAAGCACTGGAATCAATATGCCACATCCCCAGGTGCTAGAAATTGTCCATGGCCCTGTGGGATCAATAAACTAACCGTTGGAGCCCTATAGGTGTTACCACAATACACAAAACAAACATTCCCCATCTTGCAGGACTCCGGAAGCGTAAACACCGGCAACGTGGGTGACGGCAGTTTTGACGACAACAGCGTAAGTACAGGAGATTACCTCTCCACACCATGTAGGTTCACATACACTGAATGATCCCGTTTCAGCTAATTTGATGTTTGGTAATCTTTCGCTGCGAGTAGCATTGGGTGCGTTTGCCCATGTTGGAAAGGCTGCAAGGAATGTCCTCCAACTCCACAGAGCTTATGAATATCTCCAGAGGCTTATAGCAGGTTGACCTCCTCTTCCACAGTCACCGGGGTAGCAATGAGGCGTGCCAGGAGAGGCTTTTTGACATGACTCAGAACAAATGCACTTTTCCTGGGAGCTACCTCAGTGGGTTCCCAGGTGAACAAATATTTGGGAGGCTTATATGAGATTGCCAGGGTTGATGGGAGGCTGTCATATCCTCTATTCCTTTGGGCAACCCTGAAATAGCCGGAAAGAGGGTCTTTGACATCACCGACAATGAATTGCACCCGGGAGATATCCCAAATTTTTTGGATTCATCCCCATCCGCACTGGGGGCCTCATGAGAATTTCCCATGGCCTCATGGGAGGATGATCTCTTCTCCAAAAGTCCGCTGGACAGGCATGAATTGTCTCACAGTTCCTTTGGTCACCCACTAAATCTCTCACAAGAGATCCTTCCGAAATCACATGGAATGCCCTGCTTTTGGCAACAGTCCTAGGAATGGAGGGCAAATTGTGTCCTATCCAGGATTCCTTTGGCTGACTCCTTTGGTATTAAAATAAATTTGCATCATGTCATCTGAGTGGGAATAATACTTGGGTTGTTTTTGTGGCATAATAAAGGAGACCTAGATATCTATGAATAAGAAACCTACTTAGCTGTGAGAGGATATCAGCACCGTATAAAACCAAAATGTTAGAGTAGCACCAAGGAGATATTACCTAGGTTTGTGGCATTCATCAGGCCAGCACTGGAAGTGTGGGCGTTTTAGGAGATATGATTGAGGGGCCCATTCCACTGTTCTAATCTGGGGAGGGTCATCAGGGTAGATTGACCTATTGCTCTGATCTGCTGTGGCTATTCTTAAGTTACTAGATAGTACAACCTCTGCTACCCTGATGGGGAGTTGAATAGGGGGCATTCCTAACTTCTCTTTCTCTTGTAGAAAAACAACCAGTTCTGGTCAGTGGTGAGTATCAGCAGTTATCTTTGCTATCGGTCTAATGTGTTTTGCCTCAATACTGTTCTGTATCGCTGCTCACTAACAGCTCAACCCTTTGCTGGCAAAGCCCTCCAGGCAATTGCTGTCCTGACCCCTTTGATCCCATCACTTGGGCGTGGTGTAACAGATCTGCAGCCTTGGGATGTTGGAGCTTTACCAAGGATTATCTCTTGATTTCCACCGGTGGATGAGAATGATGTTGGGGGCAGATGCCCAGTTCATGTAAATTTGCCGTAGCTTCATAGAAATCCACAGGGCCTGGCTGCCACTGGTGCAAATTGTTCAGAGAATCACTGGAATCAATACGTCACATTCCCAGACGCTAGAAATTGTCCATGGCTGCACTGGTGTGATGGAATATGTGTTGCAGCCCTATAGGTGTTACCACAATACACATAATAAACATTCCCCATTTTGCAGGACTCCGGAAGTGTAAAGACCGGCAACGTGGGAGACGGCAGCTTTGACGACAACAGCGTAAGTACCAGAGATTACCTCTTCATGCCATGTAGCTTCACACACATCAGTGAATGGATCCCGTTTCAGCTAGTTTGATGTCTGTTAACGTACGCCTGTGAGTAGCATTGGCTCCATTTGCCCATGTTGCGAAGGCAGCAAGGAATGTCCTCCTACTCCACAGGGCTTATAACTATCTCCAGAGGCTTATAGCAGGTCGCCTCTTCCACAGTCCCCGGGATAGCAATGAGGCATGCCAGAAGAAGCTTTTTGACATGACATAGAATGCACTTCTGCTGGGAGATATCTCAGGGGGTCCCCAGGTGAACAAATATTTGGGAGGCTTATAGGAGAGATGTGAGGTTGTCATATCCACAATTCCTTTGGGCACCCCTGAAATATCCTGAAAGAGAGTCTTTGACATCACCCACAATGAATTGCACCTGGGAGATATCCCAAATTTTTCGGATTCATCCTCATCCCCACTGGGGGCCTCATGAGAATTTCCCATGGTCTCATGGTAGATGATCTCTTCTCCTACAAGTCTACTGGATAGGCATGAAGTGTCTCACAGTTCCTTTGGGCACCCACTAAATCTCTCACAAGAGATCCTTCCGAAATTACACGTAATGCACTGCTTTTGGCAAGAGTCGTAGGAACGGAGGACAAATTGAGGCCTATCTTGGCTGACTCCTTTTCTATTAGATTAAATTTGCATCATCTCATCTGAGTGGGATTAACATGCGGCTTGTTTCTTGTGGAATAATAAAGGAGACCCACATATCTATGAATAAGGAACGTCCTCAGTTGTGAGGGGATCTCAGCATAATATAAGAGCTGAAGTTGTAGATTAGCACTGAGGAGATATTACCTATGTCTACGGCATTGCTGAGGCCAGCATTGGAATACCGGTCCTTTTAGTAGAGATGATTGGGGGGCCCATTCCTCTGTTCCAGCCTGTGGAAGGTCATCAGGGTAGCTTGACCGATTGCTCTGATCTGGTGTGGCTGTTTTGAAGTTACTAGATGGTGCAACCTCTGCTATCCTGGTGGGGGGTTGAACAGAGGGCATTCCTAACTTCTCTTTCTGTTGTAGAAAAACAACCAGTTCTGGTCAGTGGTGAGTATCAGCAGTTATCTTTGCTATCGGACTGACATGTTTTGCCTCAATACTATTGACACTAAACTGGGAGGAGAGGTAGATACGCTGGAGGGTAGGGATAGGATACAGAGGGACCTAGACAAATTGGAGGATTGGGCCAAAAGAAATCTGATGAGGTTCAATAAGGATAAGTGCAGGGTCCTGCACTTAGGACCGAAGAACCCGATGCACAGCTACAGACTAGGGACCGAATGGCTAGGCAGCAGTTCTGCGGAAAAGGACCTAGGGGTGACAGTGGACGAGAAGCTGGATATGAGTCAGCAGTGTGCCCTTGTTGCCAAGAAGGCCAATGGCATTTTGGGTTGTATAAGTAGGGGCATTGCCAGCAGATCAAGGGATGTGATCGTTCCCCTCTATTCGACACTGGTGAGGCCTCATCTGGAGTACTGTGTCCAGTTTTGGGCCCCACACTACAAGAAGGATGTGGAAAAATTGGAAAGAGTCCAGCGGAGGGCAACAAAAATGATGGGGGAACTGGAACACATGACTGATGGGGAGAGGCTGAGGGAACTGGGATTGTTTAGTCTGTGGAAGAGAAGAATGAGGGGGGATTTGATAGCTGCTTTCAACTACCTAAAGGGGGTTCCAAAGAGGTTGGCTCTAGACTGTTCTGAGTGGTAACAGATGACAGAATAAGGAGTAATGGTCTCAATTGCAGTGGGGGAGATTTAGGTTGGATATTAGGAAAAACTTTTTCAGTAGGAGGGTGGTGAAACACTGGAATGCGTTACCTAGGGAGGTGGTGGAATCTCCTTCCTTAGAAGTTTTTAAGGTCAGGCTTGACAAAGCCCTGGCTGGGACGATTTAATTGGGGATCGGTCCTGCTTTGAGCAGGGGGTTGGACTAGATGACCTCCTGAGGTCCCTTCCAACCCTGATATTCTATGATTTTATGATTGTATGATTCTATTCTGTATCTCTGCTCACTAACAGCCCAACCCTTTGCTGGCAAAGCTCTCGAGGCAATTGCCGTCCAGACCCGTTTGATCCCATCAGTCGGGCTTGCTATAACAAATCTGCAGCCTTGGGACGTCAGAGCTTTACCAAGAATTATCTCTTGATTTCCACCCATGGATGAGAATGATGTTGAGGGCAGATGCCCAGTTCATGTAAATTTGCCGTAGCTTCATAGAAATCCACAGGGCCTGGCTGCCACTGGTGCAATTGTTCAGAGAATCACTGGAATCAATACGCCACATTCCCAGAAGCTAGAAATTGTCCATGGCCGCACTGGTGTGATGGAATATGTGTTGCAGCCCTATAGGTGTTACCACAATACACATAATAAACATTCCCCATCTTGCAGGACTCCGGAAGCGTAAACACCGGCAACGTGGGCGACGGCAGCTTTGACGACAACAGCGTAAGTACCAGAGATTATCTTTCCAAGCTATGTAGTTTCACACACATCAGTGAATGGACCCCATTTCAGCTACTTTGAGGTCTGGTAACGTTTACCTGCGTGGTGCAATGGCTGCGTTTGCCCATGTTGCGAATGTGGCATGGACAGTCCTTCTACTGCACAGAGTTGATGAATATCTCCCAGGGCTTATAGCAGTTTGACCTTCTCTCACACAGTCCCTGGGGTAGCAATGAGAAATGCCAGAAGAGGTTTATTGATTTTGCTCAGAAGACACTTCTGCTGGGAGCTACCTCAGGGGGTCACGAGAGGAACACATATTTGGAAGGCTTATAGGAGATTGCCAGGACGGAGGGGAGGTTGCCGTCCCCACAGTTCCTTTGGGAACCCATGAAATATCCTGCAAGAGAGTCTTTGACATCACCCACAATGCATTGCACCTGGGAGATATCCCAAGAGTTTTGGGATACCTGCCCATCCCCACTTGGGGCCTCATGAGAATTTCCCATGGCGTCATGGAAGATGATCTGTTCTTCTACAAGTCCACTCGATAGGCAGGAAGTGTCCCACAGTTACTTTGGGTGCCCACAAAATATCTCATCAGTGATCCGTCCGAAATCACACGAAATGCACTGCTCTTGGCAACAGTCCTTGGAACTCCATGTAAATTGTGGCTTATCAAGGATACCGTGGCTGACTCCTTTGCTATTAGATAAAATTTGCATCGTGTCACCTGACTGAGAATAACATGTGGCTTGTTTCTTGTGGAATAATAAAGGAGACCCACATATCTATGAATAAGGAACGTCCTCAGCTGTGAGGGGATCTCAGCATAGTATAAGAGCTGAAGTTGTAGATTAGCACTGAGGAGATATTACCTATGTCTATGGCATTGCTGAGGCCAGCCCTGGAGTAGTGGGCCTTTTAGGAGATATGACTGAGGAGCCCATTCCTGTGTTCCAGCCCGGGGAGGGACATCAGGGTAGCTTGACCGATTGCTCTGATCTGGTGTGGCTGTTTTGAAATTACTAGATGGTACAACCCCTGCTATCCTGGTGGGGAGTTGAACAGGGGGCATTCCTAACTTCTCTTTCTGTTGTAGAAAAACAACCAGTTCTGGTCAGTGGTGAGTATCAGCAAAAATCTTTGCTATCGGTCTAACATGCTTTGCCTCAATACTATTCTATATCGCTGCTCACTAACAGCCCAACCCTTTGCTGGCAAAGGCCTCTACGTAATTTCCATTCTGACCCCTTTGATCCCATGAGTTGGGCTTGGTATAACAAATCTGCAGCCTTGTGATGTCGGAGCTTTACCAAGGATTATCTCTTGGTTTCCACCGGTGGATGAGAATGATATTGGGGCCAGATCCCCAGTTCATGTAAATTTGCTGTAGCTTCAAAGAAATCAACAAGGCCAGGTTCGCACTGGTGTAAATTGTCCATAGAAGCACTGGAATCAATACGCCACATCCCCAGGTGCTAGAAATTGTCCATGGCCCTGTGGGATCAATAAACTAACCGTTGGAGCCCTATAGGTGTTACCACAATACACAAAACAAACATTCCCCATCTTGCAGGACTACGGAAGCGTAAATACCGGCAACGTGGGCGACGGCAGCTTTGACGACAACAGCGTAAGTACAGGAGATTACCTCTCCACGCCATGTAGGTTCACATACAGTGAATGACCCCGTTTCAGCTAATTTGATGTTTGGTACTCTTTCGCTGCGAGTAGCATTGGGTGCGTTTGCCCATGTTGGAAAGGCTGCAAGGAATGTCCTCCAACTCCACAGAGCTTATGAATATCTCCAAAGGCTTATAGCAGGTTGACCTCCTCTCCCACAGTCCCCAGGGTAGCAATGAGGCATGCCAGGAGAGGCTTTTTGACATGACTCAGAACAAATGTACTTTTCCTGAGAGCTACCTCAGGGGGTTCCCAGGTGAACAAATATTTGGGAGGCTTATATGAGATTGCCAGGGTTGATGGGAGGTTGTCATATCCACTATTCCTTTGGGCAACCCTGAAATAGCCGGAAAGAGAGTCTTTGACATCACCGACAATGAATTGCACCTGGGAGATATCCTAAATTTTTTGGATTCATCCCCATCCACACTGGGGGCCTCATGAGAATTTCACATGGTCTCATGGAAGGATGATCTCTTCTCCTACAAGTCCGCTGGACAGGCATGAAGTGTCTCACAGTTCCTTTGGTCACCCACTAAATCTCTCACAAGAGATCCTTCCGAAATCACATTGAATGCCCTGCTCTTGGCAGCAGTCCTAGGAATGGAGGGCAAATTGTGTCCTATCAAGGATTCCTTTGGCTGACTCCTTTGGTATTAAAATAAATTTGCATCATGTCATCTGAGTGGGAATAATACTTGGGTTGTTTTTGTGGCATAATAAAGGAGACCTAGATATCTATGAATAAGAAACCTATTTATGTGTGAGGAATTCTCAGCAACGTATAAAACCAAAATGTTAGAGTAGCATCGAGGAGATATTACCTATGTCTGTGGTATTGATCAGGCCAGCACTGGAAGAGTGGGCCTTTTAGGAGATAGGATTAGGGGGCACCCGTTCCCCCGCTCCAGCCCGGGGAGGGTCATCAGTGTAGACTGACGTATTGGTCTGATCTGGTGTGGTTATTCTGAAGTTACTAGATGGTACAGCCTCTGAAACCCTGGTGGGTGGTTAAACACTGTGCATTCCTAACTTCTCTTTCTGTTGTAGAAAAACAACCAATTCTGGTCAGTGGTGAGTATCAGCAGTTATCTTTGCTATCGGCTATCATGCTTTGCCTCAATAGTATTCTGTATCGCTGCTCATTAACAGCCCGACCTTTTGCTGGCAAAGGCCTCTACGTAATTTCCATTCTGACCCCTTTGATCCCATGAGTTGGGCTTGGTATAACAAATCTGCAGCCTTGTGATGTCGGCGCTTTACCAAGGATTCTCTCTTCGTTTCCACCGGTGCATGAGAATGATATTGGGGCCAGATCCCCAGTTCATGTAAATTTGCCATAGCTTCATAGAAGTCAACAGGGCCAGTTTCGCACTGGTGTAAATTGTCCATAGAAGCACTGGAATCAATACGCCACATCCCCAGGTGCTAGAAATTGTCCATGGCCCTGTGGGATCAATAAACTAACCGTTGGAGCCCTATACGTGTTACCACAATACACAAAACAAACATTCCCCATCTTGCAGGACTCCGGAAGCGTAAACACCGGCAACGTGGGTGACGGCAGCTTTGACGACAACAGCGTAAGTACCAGAGATTACCTCTCCATGCCATGTAGCTTCACACACATCAGTGAATGGATCCCGTTTCAGCTAGTTTGAGGTCTGGTAACGTTTGCCTCCGTGGAGCATTGGCTACGTTTGCCCATGTTGCAAAGGTAGCATGGACAGTCCTCCCACTCCACAGGGCTTATGAGTATCTCCCGGGACTTATAGCAGTTTGACCTCCTCTCACACAGTCCCTGGGGTAGCAATGAGAAATACCAGAAGAGGTTTTTTGATTTTGCTCAGAAGACACTTCTGCTGGGAGCTACCTCACGGGGTGCCTAGGGGAACACATATTTGGAAGGCTTATAAGAGATTGCCAGGGTTGATGGGAGGTTGCCCTCTCCACAATTCCTCTGGGCACCCATGAAATATCCTGCAAGAGAGTCTTTGACATCACCCACAATGCAATGCACCTGGGAGAAGTGTTTTGGGATACCTGCCCATCCCCACTTGGGGCCTCATCAGAATTTCCCATGGCCTCATGGGAGGATGATCTCTTCTCCCACATGTCCACTGTAGAAGCATTAAGTGTCCCACTGTTACTTTGTCCTATTCTGAAGTTACTAGATGGTACAACCTCTCTTACACTGGTGGGGGGTTGAACAGTGTGCATTCCTAACTTCTCTTTCTGTTGTAGCAAAACAACCAATTCTAGTCAGCGGTGAGTATCAGCAGTTATCTTTGCTGTCTGACTATCATATTTTGCCTCAAGAGTATCCTGCATCGCTGCTCACTATCAGCCTAACCCTTTGCTTTCGAAATTTTCTAAGCAACTTCTGTCCCCCTGTATTTCATCAATGAGTTGTGGTGAAACTATTTATGCAGTATTTAGATGTATCAACTTTTGCAAGGATTATATTCTTTTCCAGCAGTGGATGAGAGTGATGTTGGGGTCAGATCCCCAGCTGGTTTAAACAGTCCATAACTTTGAGTCATTTGATTATCAGTTGGGGACCTCCAGGTTTTACCATAATACACATAATAAATATTCTGCAACTTGCGGGGCTTCAGTAGTTTCAACAGCAATACCGTAAGTGGCAACAGCTGTAAAGACAACAGTGTAAGTAGCAGAGATTACTTCTCCATGTCATTTGTTTTCACACACATCAGGGGAATCAACCATGTTTTGGCTGGTTTGTTGGCTGGTAACATTTGCCAAGTAAGGTGTATTGGCTGTGTTTTCAAATGCTGCAAAGGCACTTTGGAGAGACCAGCTGCTCCAGAGGGCTTACGGCATATCCGTGTATCCATGATGCAGAAAACAAAAAGCTTTCTGTATCACCCAGAAGGCATTGCTACTGGGAGTTATGTCGAACAGTCTCCTAGTGAATACACAGTAGCTCCAGGGTGGTTATGGGAGATTGCCAGGGGCTATGGAATGTTGACATCTCGATAGTTCCCTTCAGGACTCATGGAACATTTTGCAAAAAGTTCCTCTAAAATCACCTGGAATTTATTGCAGCTGGGAGCTGTCCCAGGAATTCTAGAATACAGAGTCAGCTGGCAGCAGGGGCCTCATGACAATTTCCCATGGCTTTATTGGAGGATGACCTCTTCTCCCACAAGTCCACTCGAGAGGCATGAAAGTGTCCCATAATTTCTTTTGGGTACCCATGAAATCTCTTACAGGAGGGTCCTCTAAAATCACCCAGAATGCAGTGGTCTTGGCAACTGTCCTAGGAAGTCAGGGTAAATTGTTTCCTATGAAGCATGCTTTGGCTGATTCCTTTGCTATTATATTAAATGTGCATCAAGTCATCTGAATGGGAATAACACATGGTTTTTTTCTTCCACAATAACAAAGGAGCCCCAGATATCTATGAATCAGAAACTACCTTTGCTCTGAGCTTCTCTCAGCAGAGCCTAGCAATGTTACAGTAGCAGGGAGCTGAAGTCGATGAGGCCAGCAGTGGAATACTGGACCAAACTTTCCATTTACTTGAAATGAAGTTACATCAGTAGAGAATTGGCCCCACTTTGTCTCATTCTGGTGTTCCTACTTTAGAAAGGATGTTGAGATAATTGGAGAGGGTTTGAAGAAGAGCTCTGGGACAGATTCAAAGCCTGGAAAAAAGCATCTCAAGGTGTTTAATCTATTTAGCTTATCCAAGAGAAGGTTAAAAGATTACTTGATCCTGGTATACAATCACCTATATGGGGGGATGAGACTCCTGATAGTAGGTAGCTCTTTAATCTAACCGAGGCATAACAAGTCCTAATGGCAGATAAATTCAGTCTAGAAATAAGGTGCACTTTTTAACAGGGAGGGGAATTAGCTATTTGAACAAGTTCCTTAGGCAAGTGGTGGATTGAAGTCTTTAAGTCAAGGCTGGATCTCTTTCTAAAATATATGCTCTCACTCAAACAAAAGTTACGGGCTTAATGCAGAAATTACTGGGCGAGGTTCTCTGGCCTGTGTGATGCAGGAAGTCAGACTAGATGTTCACATTGGTCTCTTTTGGCCTTAAAATCTATGACAATTTATTGGGGTCCCACTGTATTTTGGTCCTGATGGATGTTTCTTTTCTTCTTATCTCCCAGTACGAGGCTCCCAGAAACCCACCACGACAACTGCCCTGATGCTTTCTGTCCCGTGCTCTCACCCATCTCAGCCTGACCATGAGTAACGCAGCACTCTCCAGTGGAATTTGATTTTGCCTTGTTCAATGATTTGACTGTAGGGCACAGTTCTTACCCTTCCATTGCCCCTCGGATGCCTCTGCAATAATGCAAATAAACCTGTTTCCACTCAGATCCTCATCTTGTGTCTTAACGGCTTTTGAGCAGCAGTTTCCCAAGCTTTTGAACAGGGACTCCCCCCCCACCTCCATGGCAGCACACTGAAAATTGCCACATTCTGCAACCACAACCTCAAAATCACTCAGAATAAACAATTCTTCATGGTAGTAGCCCCAACCAAGATCAGGGCCCCACTGCACCTGGCCCAGCACCGTCATGTACTGAGAGACTGCCCCGACTCCATGGGGGGCTGTTCCCCATTGTGCTATGTGCTGCATAGACACACAGTGAGGAACAGTCCCTGCCCCAAGTGAGATCTGAGACTCATTATTTGTGCAGGCAGAAATGCCTCGGTGAGGCTCTCTGGCCTGTGTTATGCAGAAAGTCAGAGGAGATGATCACAATGATCCCTTCGGGACTTTCAGAATCTTCTGTCTCTGATTTGACTTTTCATTGTACATTGCGCCCTCTCCATGCCCCAAAGGCGTCCTTGTGCCAGACCCATCAGCAATGCTCCTTCCCAAGGCAATGACACCAATGGGGTAGAGTTGTCCCCGGAAAAGCCCCAAATAAGGAGATATCAGTATCTAGTCAATGGTGAATCTGTTGAGAGTGGAAACTCCCGGGGGGCACCAGAGTGGTTTTCAGCTCTTGCTTTATAACCTGGGGCTCACTGAGTCTCAGTGAAGTCGGGTCCCCACAGCTTTAATTACTGGACCTCCCCAGGTGCTTCCATGCACTGTGATCTCCCCCGGACAGTAAATCAATGGAATCATCCCCAGCTACTGAAGAACAACCAGCAGATGAAGGAGAATCATAGAATCATAGAATATCAGGGTTGGAAGGGACCCCAGAAGGTCATCTAGTCCAACCCCCTGCTCGAAGCAGGACCAATTCCCAGTTAAATCATCCCAGCCAGGGCTTTGTCAAGCCTGACCTTAAAAACCTCTAAGGAAGGAGATTCTACCACCTCCCTAGGTAACGCATTCCAGTGTTTCACCACCCTCTTAGTGAAAAAGTTTTTCCTAATATCCAATCTAAACCTCCCCCACTGCAACTTGAGACCATTACTCCTCGTTCTGTCATCTGCTACCATTGAGAACAGTCTAGAGCCAAACCCTGGTTCCTCTTAAGATAGGAAGTAAATCTCAGAAAATAACACTTTGCCCCCATGCACCTTGTAGTTCTCGTTCCTGTGTCCGACCTTCGCAGGAATGATTCAGGCAGGAAGCGGTGATGTTTGAGATTAATTTGGAGAAATAATACATTTATAAAATTTAATCCTTCTCTCAACCAGGAGTATTGAATTAGTCCCACCTCTCTACAAATGCCTCCTCTATCCCCCTTCTTCTTTCTGACTTGATTGCTGTGCCAGTTCCTATCAATAATGCTCCTTGGAAAGAGTTACTAGTGATCAGAACAGTCCTCCCTGCAGAGATAGCATTTTGATACAGGTTATTAACAAATGGATTGTGGAAGGACCTGGTGTAACCTTGAGCAGGTTGCAGCTTTGGTTCCTAGTGTATAGTCCATATTGTGTGGTCTGGTTTTCTCTGGTCTTTATAGCTGTGGCGGAAGCCCCTTCCATGGTGCTTCCTAATACACCTAAGAACACGACGCTGGCCACAGAAGATATCCCTGGCACAGTCAGTGTTGCCCAAAGGCAGCACTCTCTGGCTGAGATGTTTGTGCCAAATGTGGAAGTTTCCAAGAGGAATAAATACTTCCCACTATCATCCAGGGCCTCCCCCTCTGCTTCTGCCAATTAAATCAGCTTTGTTCCAGTGATCTGCGTGACAGAGCAGAAACAAGGAACTCCTGGTTGTATTTTGCAGGAACCTGCAAAAGGGGTAGCGGACAAAGTGCTGGACAAAAGAGCTGTGGTAAATATCAGATGTTCTCTTGCCTCTAAGGCTCTTTCACATCAGTATCTCACAGGGCGAGGGGTCAGCCTCATTGCTCAATTCCAGCACTGACTGAGAAATAATCCCTAATCAGTACACCCAGAAGCCATTAGCAATGACAGCGCTTGTCTCTTCTGTTATGATCCACCTACCCATAAGGCTGCCGCCCCCAGGTAGCAGTGCAAATGTGACAGGTGCTGGGGAGGATTTCATTAACCCTGTTTAGATCCAATCATAGACTCATAGATATTAAGGTCAGAAGGGATCATTATGATCATCTAGTCTGACCTCCTGCACAATGCAGGCCACTGAATCTCACCCACGCACTCCTGCAATAAACCTCTCACCTATGTCTGAGCTACTGAAGTCCTCAAATCATGGTTTAAAGACTTCAAGGTGCAGAGTATCCTCCAGCAAGTGACCCATGCCCCATGCTGAAGAGGAAGGCGAAAAACCCTCAGGGCTTCTGCCAATCTGCCCTGGAGGAAAATTTCTTCCCCACCCCAAATATGGCGATCAGCTAAACCCTGAGCACGTGGGCAAGACTCACCAGCCAGATACCCCAGAAGGAAATTATTTTTTGTTTGTTACTCGGCCCTTCTCCAGTACGTTCCTTCGGAGGAGGAAAAGTGCTTTACAAAATTGGTTAGTCTCCAAGGTGCCACAAGTACTCCTTTTCTTTTTGCGAATACAGACTAACACGGCTGTTACTCTGAAACCTTACAAAAAACAGTGACTTAAAGGAGGAAAGGAAGTTCCAGCACATAATCCCCAGAAATCTGCAGGTGTCTCTATAAAATGAATCCTTTCCAGAATACTTATATGCTGTCAAGGTTCCTCCCCCACTCTGAACTCTAGGGTACAGATGTGGGGACCTGCATGAAAAACCTCCTAAGCTTATCTTTACCAGCTTAGGTCAAAACTTCCCCAAAGTACAAAATATTCCACCCTTTGTCCTTGGATTGGCCGCTACCACCACCAAACTAATACTGGTTACTTGGGAAGAGCTGTTTGGACATGTCTTTCCCACCAAAATACTTCCCAAAACCTTGCACCCCACTTCCTGGACAAGGTTTGGTAAAAAGCCTCACCAATTTGCCTAGGTGACTACAGACCCAGACCCTTGGATCTTAAGAACAATGAACAATCCTCCCAACACTTGCACCCCCCCTTTCCTGGGAAATGTTGGATAAAAAAGCCTCACCAATTTGCATAGGTGACCACAGACCCAAACCCTTGGATCTGAGAACAATGAAAAAGCATTCAGTTTTCTTACAAGAAGACTTTTAATAAAAATAGAAGTAAATAGAAATAAAGAAATCCCCCCTGTAAAATCAGGATGGTAGATACCTTACAGGGTAATTAGATTCAAAACATAGAGAACCCCTCTCGGCAAAACCTTAAGTTACAAAAAAGATACATAGGCAGAAATAGTTATTCTATTCAGCACAGTTCTTTTCTCAGCCATTTAAAGAAATCATAATCTAACACATACCTAGCTAGATTACTTACTAAAAGTTCTAAGACTCCATTCCTGTTCTGTCTCCGGCAAAAGCATCACACCGACAGACACAGACCCTTTGTTTTTCTCCCTCCTCCCAGCTTTTGAAAGTATCTTGTCTCCTCATTGGTCATTGTGGTCAGGTGCCAGCGAGGTTACCTTTAGCTTCTTAACCCTTTACAGGTGAGAGGATTTTTCCTCTGGCCAGGAGGGATTTTAAAGGGGTTTCACCCTTCCCTTTATTTTTATGACACCAGTGATTTTGGGTGCCTCCATTTTAGGATGGTCAAATACAGTAACCTTCTGTCATGGGGTAGCTGGCCCCTCTGCCTCTCTAGGAGCCTAACTGCCTTTGGCTTGGTAACAGTTAGGCTCTTAAGTGCCTAGTTCACTTTGGAAAATGGGGCCTAGACTCCCAACACCCAGACCTAGCTACCTTTGAAGATCTGGGCCCTAAGTTACATCTACAAGTACATGTACTCAGCCCGTGGAAGCAAGGCTCCCAGCCCGGATTGCAGGGCTCTCACTCTAAAAATAGCGGTGTAAACAAAGCTCTGAAATTGCAGCTCCGGCTGGAGTTTGGGCTCTGAAGGCTCGCGAGAGGGGTGGCTATTCTTAGACCAGGAGTGCGAGTCAGCAAGCCCACATCTGTCGACCCGGGCTGGGAGTAGAGCTGCCAAATTTGGTGGGACGTATTCCTGGAGGTTTCATCACATGCCATAATCGTTAATTAAAGATGAATCTTTAATTCCTGGACAATCCTGGAGGGTTGGCAACCCTAGCTGGGAGGCTCACTGCCGCAGGCTGCAGAGAGGTATCCTAGCCGTTGATGTGGATAAGAAGAACATCCAGCGTCAGGATAATAAGGACTTCTGAAAAATAACTAAGAGTTTGGGAAGGGATCTAAACCCTTCTGCTCAAGGGTAAGATCAACCTCTAACTAAAGGGAGTTAGGAGAAAACCTTCCCCCATGATGTTCCAACATTGTCCACTAGGGGGAGCTTTGTTCCCATTCTCCTAGAACAGCTGCTGATGGCCACTGAAGGAGACAGGATACCAGACTATGGCCCCATTGTTGTGTGAGGGGCAGGAGGGATACCAGGGCAGATTGGCCCATAGGTCTGATCCGGTGTGGCAATTCTTATGTTCCTAAATTCCTTAGGACAAGAAGCAATGGGCTTAAATTTCAGCAAGGACGGTTTAGGTTGGACATTAGGAAAACCTTCCTGTCAGGATAGTTAAGCGCTGGAATAAATTGCCTAGGGTGGTGGTGGAATCTCCATCATTGGAGATTTTGAATAGCAATTTAGACAAACATCTGTCAGGAATGGTCTAGATAATACTTAATCCTGCCACGAGTGCCGGGGACTGGACTGGATGACCTCTGGAGGTCCCTTCCCTACTATAAGTGACAGAAGTTCTGATACCTTCATGAGCTGCTGAAAATGAATATTATTAGCACCTATCTTTTCTTTCTTCTGTTGCAGAAATACCCAAACTGGGCAGGATCGGTGAATATCAGCAGTTATCTTTC